ATGGTGGCCTGTCAGACCCTATCTGATAGAACCCCTGCTTATCTCTGTGACATCATCTTGGCTTTCATTTCACAGTCATTCACCTGGCTGCCCTTTTTGTTCCTGGGGAAACATCAAGTTCATTCTTGACTTAGATCCTTTGCTCTAATGATTTCCCTTACCTGAAAGGACCAATCTTTGCCAGATTGCCTTCTTATCCTTTAGTTCTTAGAGAGCCTACCTATTTTCCTGTTTCTGTGACAGCCCTATCTAAATTAGCCTCATACATATCACTTTACCTTGTCTTAGGTTCTTTGTTTAACATTTCTTCCTCCTTCAAACATAAGCTCCATGTGGGCGGGAGTTTGACTATTTTGGTCAGTACTGAGTGTCAGCCTCTAATATAAAGGTTCCAGTACAAAGTATAAGTAAGTGTTTAGTGTCTATCCAATGAATGAACTGTGAATGAATAAATGAACAAACAGCTAAATGAGTGAACATATATTTTAGATATGGCTGCAGGCATACCTCATTTTACTGAACTTGGCTTTATTGTACTTCTTAGATATTGTGTGTATGTGTGTGTGTTTTTTTTTGTTTTTTTTTTTTTTTACAAATTGTGGGTTTGTGGCAACCGTGCATCAAGTTGGTGCTATTTTTCCAAAACCCTGTACTCACTTAGTGTCTCTGTGTCACCTTTTGGGAATTGTAAAAATATTTCAAACTTTTTCATTATTATATCTGTTACGGAGATCAGTGGTCTTTGGTATTACTACTGTGGCTACCTCCACATGAAATGGAAGACTTAATTGATGAATATTGTGTGTGTTCTGACTGCTCCACTGACTGATCCTTTCCTGTCTATTTCTCTTTCCTCTCAGTTCCCTAAGATACAGCAGTATTGAAATTAGGCCAATTAATAATATTCCAGTGGCCTGTAAGTATTTAAGTGAAAGGAGGACTCACAGGTCTCTCACTGGAAGTCAAAAGCTGAAATGATTAAGCTTAGGAAAACATATCAAAAGGGAAGATGGGCCAAAAGCTAGGCCTCTTGCACAAAACTGTTTGCCAAGTTGAGAATGCAAAGGAAAAGTTCTTGAAGGAAATTAAAAATGCTATTCCAGTGAGCACATAAATAATAAGAGCGAAACAGCCTTCTTGCTGATAATGGGGAAAGCTTCACTGGTTGGGATAGATTAGAAGATCAAACTAGTCACAACATTCCCTTAAGCCAAAGGCTAATCCAGAACAAGGCCCTAAGTGTGTTCAATTCTGTGAAAGCTGAAAGGTGAGGAAGCTGCAGAAGAGAAGTGAAACTAGCAGAGGTTTTTTTCATGAGGTTGGAAGAAGGAAGCTGTCTCTGTAAAAGTACAAGGTGAAGTAGCAAGTGCAGATGGAGAAGCTGCAAGTTATCCAGAAGATATAGCTAAGAACACTGATAAAGATGGTTACACTAAACAACAGATCTTCAGTGTAGATGAAACAGCCTAATAATGGAAGATGATGCCATCTAGGACTTTAATAGCCAGAGAGCAGAAGTCATTGCCTGGCTTCAAAGGACAGGCTGACTCTCTTATTAAGGGCTAATGCCACTGGTAACTTTAAAATTTTAGCCAATGCTTATTTATCATCCTGAAAAATCCTAGGGCTCTTAAGAATTGTGTGAAATCTAATCTATAAATGGAACAACAAAGCCTGTATTGACAGAACATCTGTTTACAGCATTGCTTAGTGAATATTTTAAGCCCAATGTTGAGTCCTACTGCTCAGAAAGATTCCTTTCAAAATATTACTGTTCTTTGATGATGTACCTGGTCACCCAAGAGCACTGATGGAGATGCATAAAGACATTAGTGTTGTTTTTATGCCTACTAACACAATGTCCATTTTGCAACCTGTGGATCAATAAGTAATTTTGACTTTCAAGTCTTCTTATTTAAGAAATATATTTCATAAGGCTATAGCTGCCAAAGTTCATGGTTCCTCTGATGGATCTGGGGAAAGTAAATTGAAAATCTTCTGGAAAACATTCACCATTCTAGATGCCATTAAGAACATTTGTGATTCATGGGAGGCGGTCTAAATATTACACTTAACAGGAATTTGGAAGAAGATTTCTACCCTCATAGATGACTTTGAGCAGTTCAAGCCTTCAGTGGACAAAGTAACCACAAATGTGGAAAGAGTAAGAGAACTAGAATTAGAAGTGGAGCCTAAAAATGTGACTAAAATGCTATAGTCTTTATCATAAATCTTAAACAGATGAGGAATTGCTTTTTATGGATTTTATGGTTTCTTGAGATGGAATCTACTCCTGGTGAAGATGCTGTGAACATTGTTAAAATGACAAAGGATTTAGAATATTGCATCAATTTAGTTGATAAAGCAGTGGCAGGGTTTGAGAGGATTGACTCTAATTTTGAGAGAAGTTCTACTGTGGGTAACATGCTGACAAACAGCAGAGCGTGCTACAGAGAAATATTTTGTGAAAGGAAGAGTCAACTGATGCAATGAACTTCATTGTTGTCTTACTTGAATAAATTACCACAGTCGCTCCATCCGTCAGCAACCAGCACCCTGATCAGTCTGCCGTCATCAACATCAAGGCAAGATCCGCCATCACCGAAAAGATCATAACTCACTGAAAGCTCAGATAATTATTAGCATTTTTTAAGAAATCAAGAATTTTTAATTAAAGTATGTCCATTTTTTCCTCAGACATGATGCCATTTCATGCAAAACAGACTACAGTATAATAGAAACATAATTTTTGTATGCTCTGGGAAATTTATGACTCACTTTATTGCTTTACTGTGGTAGTCTGGAAAATTAAACCACAATATCTTCGAGGTATGCCTGTATATGGCTGTTAACTGTTAACAAGAGAGAAGCCCTTGTTAGTCTATTATTTAATGTAGATATAAATACCTAAAATGAAAGTCAACTTGTTTCTCTGAAAATATGCCTTAAAATATTCAAAGTGTGTCCTTGCTATAACTTTTTTTTTTTCAACATCTGTATGCTAGGACTCTAGCTTGGATAAGATAGCTTTTATGTTTTTCTGCTGCTTAAATTAGTATTTGGATACATTTCTCTGGATATATTCAATGTAAATATATTTTTATTTACTAATCCCACTATCAAAGCAGAGCTTTAGGAGGGATATGAGTTTTAAAAATTGCCTGGGTATCAGAAGTTTCCATAGAGCCATCTCTTATTAGTTTGGGGAAGAAGAGGAAGGAGGAATGCTAGTTATAAAATAACATGTGGTATTATGCTTGTTATATTTGAAGATAAATATAATTTATTTTACTATTCTACTTTTTATTTCCTGTTGATTTAGCAGTTCAATTTGACTATATTTGAATATTTTAGACTGTTTTATCTTTCAATTTAAGGATACAATTTTCTAAGGACTCATGGTGCCAAGTCCTAATTTATAATGTGTGAATGTTGGTTTGCAGTAAAAGATGAAATGTGGTATAAAAGTCTTAGGTGGAGGATAGAAAAACTTTGGACTTACTTAGCATTGGATGGAAATTTTTGCTCTAATACTTCAGTATTAACTTGGTAAGTTCCTTAATGCCTTAGTTTCCTCATTTATGGAATGTGCATAATATTTATGTACAGGACTATGATGAGATCTCAGTGAGATATATGTAGCACTATTAGCTGTTACATAATTGTGAGTTCAATGCTTTTCTCCTGTCCTATCAGAAACAAAGGCAAAGGAAGTAGACTTTTCCAAACATGAAAGATTAGTGTTCTATGTAGATAACAATAAGGGCATAAAAAGTACATTATATTTTGTATTTCTAATACCAATGCTTGACTATTGTAAATTATAAAGAGTATTGGCCACAATGATAGTAATGTTAATAGCAATATTTATTGAGTATTTACCATGTTTCAGACAGTGCCTTAAGCAGCTTATATATATCAACTCATTTAATGCTCATCACAAAGTGCACAAGATGCTAATTATTTCCCCATTGTACAGATGAGTAAACTGAAGCATAGGAGGAGTATTATATTACTTAGAGGCCCCTAGGCAAATCTGGGGTTAAAAGAATCTATACTTTTGTGTGCATTAAAAATTGATTCTCCAAACCCATTTCATTCTTTGAAATAGTCAGTAATCACCCAAATAAATATATCTCAAAACACAAAAGCCTTCTTTTTATTCCCATCTTCCTTCTGAGGGACTCTGGTTTCAAGACTCAATACCGCACCTCTTTGTGGGGAGGAAAGGAGAGAAACAGTCGAATTTGGGGGTTAAGTCTGTTTAAGAGCCATGCTATCTGGGCAATTATTGATGTTGTGCTTTTTGTTCTTTTTGATGTTGAGAAATCACAATTATGTGGGGACATAAGGGATGCACAGAAAATATATAATTTTCAGTATGATTATGTATTGAGATACTGATTTTTCCCACAAGTGAATGTATTAGTAGAAAGGGAATAAAAGAATGTTATATCTGAACAGACCATACATACAAAACTGTTTTAAGAAGCATAATGTTTTACTGATATGGTCTGATACCTAATAAGCTTCTTTATAGCTTTGATCTTGTTTAGGGTTTGTATTTTTTTGCTTTTCATCTCTAGATCATCTATGCCATTTATCAATTTTTTTCATGGTTGAATTAAATCTTTATTTTAAGATGATTTCTTTAAGTTTCTGGTCCCGTAAGTATGCAATAATTTCAGACCACTAAGACCCCTACTGAAATATGAAAGTCTTTGTAGGTGATCTTAAGATAACATTGTCCTTGGCTTTATGATGAACTATATAGGTATATCAACTTTGAGTCATAATAATTACTTTAATTTTTTAAGGCTTTGATTGTCTTTAATCTCCTGGTTTGATGAAATGTTTAGAGTATGAAGGAAATAAATGTTCCTTCTTAAAAATGTTTTATGAAACTTTTCTCTCCCTGTGGTACTTCCTGTTGGCCTGATCTTATGTCATGTATAATTGGATTGACATTCAGCCTGAATATTTCTTTTTCTTCTTGGCAGCATGGGGTAACCTTGGAAATGTTCTGAAGAGTCAGAGCAAAATTTCTGAAGCCGAAACCGCCTATAGAAATGCTTTGTACTACCGCAGCAACATGGCTGACATGCTTTATAATTTGTGAGTATGCCCTGCTTTCTCTGGTTCGATTCATCTTTGAAACCTGCAGTGAGAGGGACTATTGATTTAACTGCTGGAAATGGAGATGAGGATAGCTTTTTTACTGAAATAGTCTTTTCATTAATCATGCCTCTGGGACTAGTTGGTGGATGGGATTTGTGATTTCTTTGTTTTTGGCTACACCATCAATATTCATGTGTACTGATGTCTTCTGGCTGAATTTTTAAAAGTAGTATGCCATGTAACTTAAAAATTGGTTTAAATACTTACAATTTTTTTTAAAGTTTATTCCATTAATACTTAGATGGGTTCACAAAATAAGCCTGTTATATATGATACTTATGCAATTTATGCCTTGATTATTAATAATAGACGTTGTCTTCCATTCTAAAAAAATTGCTTGTATCAAAATATATATGGAATCTATACTAAACCAGTGGAGTTTGCAACATTATGCTGCTTTTATTTATTTTTTTCCTCTTCAGAGGTACTGAGGATTATCAGCAAACTTGGGATAATGGAATAATTTAGAATGTCCTTCTTAGAAAACTCCTTAGAGGAAAATTTGGTTCTATTTTTGAATGGAAAATTCTAGTGGGTACAATGAGGTGTGATTGGATATATGTAGAGTAAATCCAAATGCTCTCTTTATCCCTTATATTTATGAGAACATTTTGTTTTATAAGTTAACCGGAATCTAGTTTAAACTTCCCTAAACACAAAAGAGAATTTATTAACTTCTATAAATGAACATTCCTGGGGCTGACTAGATGGAGGCACAGTTAGATCTAGGTGCTTGATTATGTTTCAGGAATCTGTCTGCATTTGGTGGTTCTGGTTTCCTCTGGGTTGCTCCATCATCACAGAAGGAAAGAGAACTTTTTTGTCTTAGTGTCTGTATTAATCCTGGGCAGTGTTCTCTGATGGACCCTTCTGGGCTGGGGTGTCCGCTCTTGGGTAAAACATGGGGCAGTGCAGGAGGGGCCAGGAGGCAGCATCTCCAGAGGTAGAATGGACTAGTAGGAGACCACTTCTCTATCAGAAGGTGACAGTTTTCTAGTAAAGCGATGTTAAACGGGCCTCTTGCCTTGTAATACAGGATTCCAGTTTTCTTCTGGTGCTCATTCGCCATACATATTTAAGGAAGAAAGTAAACAGCCAGCACCTCTTCATAGAACTTGTCTTCTCTCTTATCTACAGCCACTGGTTAAAATGTCGCCTACCTGTTGGTGATACCCTTTGGGCACAGATTCAAGGAAAAAGTAAATGTGTTTATATAGCTTATTCTTTGCAGAGAAGAGAAATCTATTTATTTAATTAGACAATTCCACTTTATATGTATCTTAAAAATTACATCATATGATTTTGGTTTTTGTTGCCTATAGAAATTATGAAAGCACAAGGATAAACCTCTCCAAACCCTAGTGAAAATCTTTGCTGGAGAAGTGATTATTAACAAAGTTGGGGTTTTTCTCCCCCAATTGTAGGAACTAGAATATAAGTGCCATATATATTTTCATAATATTTTTACTAATATGACAGATTTTTACACCACACTTAACTGTTAACTTAAATGGAAAGGCTTAAATTCCACCAGAAATGATGACTATGATTTTGGTATTTTGGATTATGTATACCATGTGGTTGATAGAATTCTGATAATCAGTAATTATATTTCTCCAGCAAATTGGTATTAACTGAGTAGCACCTAAGTGGACACATAGTTACTACAGTAATAGGGTATTGGGCAGGTGGGAGGGGGGAGGGGGGCGGGTATATACATACATAATGAGTGAGATGCGCACCATCTGGGGGATGGTCATGATGGAGACTCAGACTTTTGGGGGGAGGGGAGGAAATGGGCATTTATTGAAACCTTGAAATCTGTACCCCCATAATATGCCGAAATAAAAAAATAAAAAATATAAAAAAAAAAAAGAACATACCATACATGGAAATCCAGCTTTGGCACAGAATTCTATTAGTGAAAGTTAAGAACTGTTTTATTTTGTAAGATTTTTCTCAGGATTCATTTTGATAAAAAGTTGTTCTGTATCACTTGCAATATAGTCTGATTTACAAAAAGCCCATCTGTTCACAACATACAATATTTGTAAAAGCATAGTGGTTGATTTGTCTAAAAAAAAAATAAAATAAAAGGATCTACTGTTTATATGATAAAATAAATAAATAAAATAAAATAAAATAAATGAATCATTCAATGATTTTTAAATCACATATTAATAAAATAAATCAAGATAGATCTGTTACAACCCATAATATCATAAATATGTTGGTATCATATATTTCTAGGAACAAACTTTTTTCTTTACTTATTTACATAGATAAGAAAGATAAATTTTCTCATGGACAGTTTAAAGATTATTAAACAACTTAATTTTTGAGATGTATATGCTATCTTCATTATGTAATTTTCTCTGATGTATAGACATTATTCCTTGTTCCATTTTAACTCTTAAAAGGAATTTTCTCTGCTCATTCTTTCCAGTAAATGTAACCTGGTAATACCCTTTTGTGACAATAGTGTGTATTAATTACTTTTCCTATCATCAGTTATATCTCTTAACGATGTTTTATGAGAGTGGCATGAAACTAACAATCCTGTTTATATTAATTGGCATGAAATACATATATTTGTTAATGAATTTTAGAAGTTTTTGTGTATCATAAGCTTCTGTTAGGTCCTCTACTTTTAATCAGTAAGCTAGTTGTTTTTTTTTTCAATGAATTCTATGTTCATATTTGTTTTGTAAATTATTAGAAAAGTTTTATATTAGAAATTATATCAGGAAAATAATCTGGAGACATACATTATTATTTCTATTTAAGACAAAATTACTAAGGTGAAGTACCCCATCCCTGGCCAGACATGGTATAATTCTAGGAGGTCAGAGATAATTCTTAAATTCATCCCTATAATTTTAAAAATATTAACTAGCATTTATAAATAGCACATCTGAACATTCTTTTAGGTATGGATAGAAGAAAAAATGTGAGATTTGCAAATATATTTAGTAAGCAATAGCTATATAGTTATATCTGAAGTTCAGTGAACATTGCCATATAAGAATATAAAAAATTGAGGACAGTTTTTTTGAGAATAATATCAAGTTATATCAGAGAGGTACATACATAGATTTATATTGCCTGTTTATACAATGATGGAATAATTATAATTTTTTTCTTTTTTTGGTAACAATTGTTAGAATTACTTCTCTGTGCCAAACACTATTTAATTCTTTACATATGTTATCACAGTTTTTCTTCAGGTGAAGTCTGCAGGAAAATGAGAGTCAGAGGTAATTTGTGTAAGGTCACACAAAAAGTAGAGAAGCCAATCTTTGAACCTAAGGTGTTCTGAATCTATATCTGTGCAATAATTTTATTTCTACTCTCAAGTTGGCAGAAATAAAGCAAAGGTATGGAAGAAAAAAATACCCCACAGTATATATCTCAAATTCAGAAAAAAATTTAAAAATATTTACATATAGAAATAAAATATTTGGAATTAAACCTAATAGAGACCATAAATTTTTTGTAACAGTTACTGAGTTTTCTGAACTCATGGTGTAGAATTTTGGTGGAAAGATTATCATTTAGATTGTACATCTGTGCTGAGTGGCTTTCAAGAGGAAAGTGCTACAGAAAGCATTTTTACTTGCCTAAATTATAACAGTTGATATTTAAATACATGCTTAGTCCATAGTCATATAGTATAAACTTAAAACAGTACTTAATTCTATTCTTAATAGCAGTAAACATCATGCATTTATTGTACAGCCTTCTATTTGGTCTTTTACATTCATATTGAATTTACTAAAATGTATTAATGTTTCACACAAGAAAATGTTAAGACCAGGTTTAATAGATCTGTGTTATGGTGTTGGTTTTTCTTTCCAAGTATAGTAAGTTTTTAGGGAAAAACCAAATGAACCACTGTTCAGTGATTTATACCGTCAAATTTTATAAATACATAGTCAACTTTCAACCTTTTAACCACACCACTCAGTGCTATCTGCTATTTAATTGATATTTTTAGGCTAAAAAAGGCAGCGTCCTTTCATTGTTACAGATTTGTCTCAGTCTGTTCCAAATGATATAAACAGGGAGTTCAATAGAGAATTAAATATTTCCTAAGGCATTAGATTTCAGAAGGCAGATAGTAAATTTAATGTGTTATCAATTCTTGATTATCTTACATAGTAGAATGATAATTTCTGTGGAAAATAGAGATTTTGCCATCATAAGTTAGTGGTAGTTTTTGTTCTGTGTTGTAAGAAACTAAGTATGTAATTTGAGAAGCTAGAAAAGGAGCAAGACAATAAAGTGATAAATTTAAGGGAAGTAAAGAGAAAATACCAATAACTAGAATGTGGAGAGACACTGGAAACTAATGCATACATCTAAAGTTGTTCTCTGAAAGATCAGCAACTTCCAGTGAGGGTAATATAGGGCAAACTAGAGAATCTCAAATATGCAACTTTGAGAATAAGAAAGGGGTTATACTTGGATATATGGAAGCTTAAAATAAAATAATAATATTTGAAAATTTTAGTGATATAAGTGGTTTTGGGGAAGATATGATCAATATCGGCCCAAGAAGAGATAGGCAATCTCAACTAGAAACCTTGGGAAAATTTGAAAACCATATTAAAGAATTTTCTCAACAGGGAACCAAGTGAAGACGTTTTGCATGTGAGATCTCTCAAATCTACAATGAAGTAATAATTCCTACACTAATTATACTTCTTATGTAGTGTTTATGAAGCTACATAAAACTGATAGCAAAATATCCGACTAAATTTAAAACACACACACAAGAATAACAAACCCAAAAAACAAAATGAAAAGCAAATAAGCAAGAAAGAAACAGACCCTCAACAGGTCAGTTACACTGATGAATATAAATGTTGACATGTCTTAAAATTAATATAGTGGATGCAGCTGCATATTAAAAATTAAAACACCACTATCAGATG